TTTGTATATCTTTCCAAGAGAGGAACGCTAAAGGCAGCTTAGGATTATGCAACATTTTTTTAATCTTTTCTTAAAAAAATCACTTAAGAAGTTTATAATCAATCAACTTCTTTTACATTTTTAGATTCCTTTACACCAAAAAATATAACTTCTGGTTTTTCTGCCACAGGTATTGTTCCGTTTGATTCCGCCATATTTAATGAATCTCACTTTATTAAAGCTGACCTGAAAGAAACACAATCAAATTTTTCTTTAATTAATACCGCTGGTCCTATTAAGGTTCCAGAACAAAGTGCTAAAAAGATTTTGATTAGCATGGAGACAATAATTATTGTGAAAACAACACAACACGAAATAGAACCAATTGCAAAAGAAACGAAGAAAAACCAGACCCTAAAATAGTCCTAACACCAGAGATGGTAAGACCGTTACCAGCTTTAAAAAGTGCTCTAATAGTAAAACAGGAATGGGAAAGGAAAAATCTAGAGTTTACAGCGATTTGACATAAATGCAAAACATAGTGGAAAGAGCTTTGAAAAGAAACAAAATTGAAAAATGCTAAGAGGATTAATGCTAGAAGGAATGTTTTTCAGAAAGCCTATGTATTAAAATGTAATTAAAAGGAAAAGCAGCCACTGCCACCAAAGAAAAAGAAAAGAAACAAAAAAAATTGAAGAATCTGATGAAGAAAGCGATAACGACTCCCTTTTGTCACTTCATTCTGGCAGCAGAATCTGTGCAAATTATCTTGTAGAAGGACGATCAAATCATATAAAAAGAAGATTTTGTATTTAATTAGCTTAATTTCCAACCAAATCATCTGTTGTATATTATGTTGGTAGAATTTAAAAAGTTGTGGATACTGACGAAGTAAATTTAAAAAAATAAATAAATTAAAGTGAATTTTTATTTCCTGAAGTGCCCGATGTTGGCGATGTGAACGGAATAGATTTTATTGTCCAAACAAATACTACGAGTTTGATGACAATTTTGACAGTTACAGTTTAAAATAATTGTGTTTATGTTACAATCTCAATTACTTTTAATTAGACTAAGCGAATATTTGTGTCAAACCATAATTTTTTAAATAAAAATTAAAGCCCATTCGACCATTCACTGTTGGGTTCTAATTAACAGTGCTGTTCCTAAAGTGGCGCTGGGAAACAGTAACAAAGCCTACACAGAACACGAGGCTAATGGCCGTAGGTCGACGCCGATGACACCAAATTAAAAAAAAAATTAAAAGATTTCTATCAATTTGTACAATGTGTCAAACCTGCCCACTCAATATTTCACAAAGTCAAATCTACCCCACTGTGGGGCAGATTTGTCAAAATCTTGTTAAATTCTTAACCCTTTTAACTTCCAATTTTTTAACAAAAAACCTCGTAAATTGTCATTTCTAGCGGATAGAGAATTTTTCATGTCAAATCTGCACCGCCTTTCCCTAATTGGAAGACACAGCTACGTCATCAATTGCGGAGTAATTCGTTGGCTATTGCCGCCTACTGGGGGTTTACTGCATGGCATGTTAATATTATAGGAATGTAGGAATAATATTAATAAACCAAGCAACTTGCATATTCTTTATTTATTAATAGTTATAGATGGTATACAGGGTGTTTCTAAATTCATGCGACAAAATTCAGGAGGGATTGCTCTTATGAAATTAAGATGGGTGTTTCCTATAACAAAATTTCCTCAGCCCATCCCTTTCCGAGATATCACCCTTAAAAGGTAGTGACTAAAATTGAGTTTTTTTTTTCTAAAATTTCAGTAAAGCTAGAAACTTGAAATTCTGTAATTTCATTTTAGCTAGAGGTGGTGATTTCCAGCATTTATTATGAATCAATCGTATTACATTTTACAAATTTACTGTTTTCCACTCAAATTATTAAAAAAATTATAAATAATGGTGCTTATTTTTTTCTCCGCAGCTATTGGTTTTGGGAAAAAAATTTAAGAATAATTTTTTTTTTTTTAATAAAACAAGGATTTTAAGTTATAATTTTATGTCATAAAACTTCATCTCCAAAAAAAGTTTTGATATGAAATAAAGTAAGGGTTGCTAATTTCACCCCCCTATAATGTAACAGGAATATTGAAAAAATACCCGTGTTTAGTCCTTTGCGAGTGCACGAAAATTACAAAATTTCAAGTTTCTAGCTTTACTGAAATTTTATAAAAAAAATAAAAACTCAATTTTAGTCATCACCTTTTAAGGGTGATATCTCGGAACGGGGTGGGCTGAGGAAATTTTGTTATAGGAAAGACCCATCTTAATTTCATACAAGCAATCACCTCCTGAATTTTGTCGCAAGAATTTAGAAACACCCTGTATATTTTAAATTCGAAATAATAGTATAGGTATTACACCCAAAGATAATTGACCAAAATTATTTTTCAAAGAATATAACGTTTTTTCAAATTTGGTTTTTTCTTCAGTTTTGTTTTGTTACAGTATACAGGGTGTCCCGAAATTAGACGGTCATGTTTTAACAGCGTAATCTACATCCTAAAATAGGAGTAAAAGTTTATATAATAATAGGTCCGAAAACATTTTGTTTCCGAGATACAGGGTGTTAAACATCAAGTTTTGATGACACATTTTTGTAAGTATTTTCTAAACTAATTGAAATTTGGTACAAATGCTAAACATTTTACGCTCTATTTAATGGACTAAACGCAGTGGGTAAATTAGGGGAGGAGTTTGGGGTTAAATTGTTCTAAGTTTTTTTGTTGACTATTTTTAACATTTTTGACTACAAAATTTGGAAAACCGATATTTTCTTTAAAATAAAGCTACTTTTGTTGTATCTCGCTAGGACGCACCATTTTCAAGAGAAAAGCATTTGAAAATTTCATGATAAGTTGATGTTATCTTATTCGAAAGTGTAAACAATAATTAGTAGGATTGTGGAATCAGAAATTTTATTTTTTTTTAACTTTGGAAAACCGGTGACTAAAGAAAGTTTAGAAAATATTTACAAAAATGTGCCATCAGGACTTTACTTGTATCTCGAAAACGAAACGTTTTCGGACCTATATTTATATGAACTTTTACTTCTATTTTAGGATGTAGATTTCGCTTTTAAAATATGACCATCTAATTTCGGGACACCCTGTATATACGTAGTACTATAATTCTGTGTAGTACATAATAAAATTTGATATTGTGTAATACATAACAAAATAATTTATTATCATTCCCCACATGGTGAAAAATTAAATTTTTCTATTAAATTAAAAAAAGTTTTATTTGTGAAAGTGACACAGCCTATTAAACAACTATTATTTGTAAATTTATTATTTTCAGTTTCTAAAACGAGAGTTAAATGAAGAAAATTACTTAATATTTTATATTATCAATTAAAATTATACGACGGACAAACAATTTAAAATATAATTAAAGTTTGTTTCGTATTGTAAATTTTATTATTGTGTTTCGTAGTGTTAAATTAAGCAATCAATAATAATATTTGACACCATGAAAAGTCTTTACTGAGTCTTCCATTAATCAATTTAATTTTTATAAAATAAATCTTCTTTTTTAAGTTTTTTTTTTTATAAATTAGTAAAAGTCATAAATTATTTTTAAATTAGTTATTTTATCTTAATAACCTAAAATAATTTTTTAAATTTGTAGATTTACGTTAGTGAGTCGTATAAAAATATACTGTACAGATCAAGAGGATTGTCCATGTCCACTCATGTTGCACAAACTACTATCATAGTTTTAGTAACATGGATGAAAGAAAGAGGGAAAAGTTTAGGCGATCAGGATCTTTTCTATGCATAGTATAAAATAAAATTTCACTGTTACAAATAATTTGTATAATATATAACAATGAAGTGAATTTACAAAGTACATATCCTTTAAATATTATACATTTTATACACTCGTCCAAATAAGGAGTAAGAGAGTTTTTAAATGTAGATTTTTAAAATAAATAAAAACACAAGACCATATACAGGGTTTCTTAATAACATGCTAATATTTAAGGGCGTGATTCTTGGACCCATTTTAAGAAGAACATTTCATATGAATGTATGTGTAAAACGCCTTAACTTTTGAGATACAGGGTGTTAAAATTTTAAGAAAAAAATCAATTTTTTATTGTCATTTTCATACCAGTTTAAATATTTTTAAGAAATTTGGTGTACGGCGTTTGTATATTAAAGAGCATTTTTTTATGTTAAACAGTGGCGTCCGTACACCAAATTTCATAAAAATATTTAAAATGGTATGAAAATAACAATAAAATTTTTTATTTCTTTCTTAAAACTTTAACATCCTTTTACTTAAAAGTTAGGACGTTTGGGATATACATTCATATGAAGTATTTTTCTTAAAATGGGTCCAAGAATCACCTCCTTAAATATTAGCATGTTATTAAGAAACACCCTGTATATTCTTAACGAGACAACTACAAAATCTAAGACCCAAAGAAGAAGATGAAATATACATTTGTTGGGTATACTTATACGAAATAATCGACATAATAAACAGGAAAGAGATATGGAAAGCTTAGAAAAAGAGAAGTAGTAACGTCAGCAAAGGAAAGTATTTGCAGACGATATAGTTCTATCTAGTAAAAATAAATAATTCAAAACAGTCTAGAAGTTTATGTAGTATACAAAAGAAAACCTAGAGTGCCAAGGACTGGCCCTTAAGGGGCACTTACGTTGGGTTTCATGTGTGAGAAAGTTTTACCAACTCTTACGCAAAATTATTTGGACTCAAATATCTGATACACCAATATATGTATATGTTTAATATTTTTGAAGAGTTTTTGCTTTGCTATCAGATGCCTAAACAAAATACAAGTACTTATACAATATGTGTAAGGCGTCTAAGGATTTTGTCCAGTCGTTGACACACTGCAAGAGATTGATAAATGTAAAATGTTATTTGATGAATTCTTGTTGACGGGGGAGAAGTACAGATTCGTTAAGAAGATCAGTTAATCATATATACTAGCTAGCTGTAAATGTTATGGGTAATTGCAAAAATAACGAGCACAATGAACGGAATTACAATAATTAGTATTAATGACAAATTAAAAATACTTACTCGTCAAAATCTGTTGCGATGTTGAGACTCTCAAATCCTGGCGAACTATTCCTATCCCTGTCGGGCGATGGCGTTGTCCTTATTTCATCGACACAAAAACTTTCGTTCACTCGAGACGCGTTCTTTTGATCGGCCAAAGCGTTTTCGTAGAAATTTTGAAAATGCTGCAAACTTTTATTTTTCGCACTAGCATTCTTGTCCAAGTTTTCGGATTTTTTCCCGTAGAGTTGCCTGTAGTACTTCTCCTGATCACCGTACATCCAACATACCTTCCACCATTGGCGGCACATCAGAACATTCGCCGAGGCGCTTATGTTGTCGCGTTTTAGAGCGTTATTCGACATTTTTTATTTTTACTAGAAGATTTTTGTGATTAGTTTGATATTAGCGGTAAATTTTTTTCCACAATGTAAAATGTTTTTTGAGTAATGATCAAAATAGTGTTGGGGCAGCCTATTTGCACCAGTAATATCTAATATCAAATCCTTTATCTTTGTATATCATTAGACGGAAACGGTATAATTTTAAAATCAGCAAAAAATAAAAATTTATTTAAAAATTTAATAATACACAGGACATCCCACTTATATGTCCGTATATGAGATAATAACGATGATAAAAGTGGGATAATTTATAATAAATAATAACATTTGTTTTGTACTTTTAATAAAATAATTTCTATTATGTATCATTTAAAATTTGATTAGAATTTAAAACAAACGTTAAAGGATAATTACTTTATTCTATTCTCTTCTAACAAATAATTCTCATACACTTGTGGAAAAAAATTATTTACGCTTAAAATTTATTCTATTCTTCATTAAAACCTTGAGAATTTTGTACTGTAATTATTAAAGCCGCGTTATTTGGAAAAACATGACATCATCATGTTTTAAATGATCGTAATCAATGTTAAATTATTGATTTGTAATAACAAATTTATAATTCATATTATTAAGTTGAATAAAATTTTATGAATAATTTAGACTTAATTTTTTGGTGTAGGTATATTAAAATATTAATTTAAAATTAAGAATTTAAGATGGTTCAAGAACAATATGCTGATGACGGAGTTTGTTCTTACATAAAACTACAAAATAATTAAGCAACAAATACTTAGGGGACCATTTGATTTATGCTGGTATAACTGAACAATACAAAATACAATTCTCAAGGAAGTTTCAGTTTACCGCTAAATACCTTAAAAGATCTAAAAAACATAGAAACCAACGGCAATTATTTAACTATTATTTCTCATTCAGTGTCACTTGTCTCGTCCATTACACATCACAAATCGCACTTAAAACTCATCTCTGGATCTTTTTTTACTATGTACGTTGTTTCCTATAACGTTTTCATAACCTGTGGGATAAAGAAAGACATATTGGTAAATAATAAATCATAAGTTAAAGACGACAGGCGCTCTTTCTTCGTCTTCTTGTTCTTCTTAGACGCGTTCATAGACTTCGCAGGTTTTTGTTGAGAAGAAAATGATTCTATTAACGGATTCGATTCAGTCAGATTGGTTGTTGTGTCGTAAATATGCTAATAAATTTGACAACGTAGGTCTCGAGGTATTATACAATAGTTGAATCTTCTTTAAAGTTGATTTACGATAAAAGTTTAGGGTCATCTTAGAAATGAAAATAAAAATGACACTAATCTTCTTTTTGGAACAATAAGCAAACAATTTTCTAATTTTTTTCTAATAATTTCAAATTTTGCTATTTTCATTACACCAATTACAATTAATTTAATTTCGCTAGAAATTATTTTCATTCTTAAACAAACTACACATAAATACTGAGAAATAATCATCAAGAAAATAAATGCAAGAATTTATGTTCAATTTTTTTTAGATAAATATAGGAATTTTTATTTTTATCGCACAATAAAAATAAATTTTTACTCAATTTTGAACCATTTAACAGTAACCAGTGTTTTAATTTTATTCTATATATCTCCAATAACTATTTTATTCTCAATAAATGCGTATATTTTTTTATTTAGTAATTTTATTTCTCGTTGTAACAAGTAGTAATAATTAAAATAAAGTAATCTTAATAAATACCCCTCTCCAGGTTGTGTTTTGCGTTTAGCAGAGAAGTTCGAGCCATTTAGAACACAACGTTTCTAGCCAGATCTCGTTCTGACGTCATCATGATCTGAGCAGCTCCTAAAACCTACTCTAACGACAACATAACGCGATAGTATGTTTAGAATAATCCTTATATCAAACTTCTAGCCATCTTATAGTATATAACACCACGAGGTGGGAAGAGTTTCATTCCTGTCGTGAGATTAGTTAGATCACCGAGACGCGAAACGTCGAGGTTAGCTATGATCTCGAGACAGGAATGAAACTTCCTACCGAGGTTTGTATACCATTTTATTTTACAACCATCATATTTCGATCAAAGTTAATAAATCTCTGTTTCGTTCTGAACATACCTAAAATATTACATTTAACGACAAATTACCAAGCGCGCGGTTTTCTCAGAATAATCAAGTAAATATATTGTTACTGTGATTACGGGGTAAACAACTGTCACCAATATAAATAAATGTCACATAAAGCCGGATATTAAATTCGCGAATAATAAATATCAATAAGTAGTTTGTTGTATTTTAGTTCATTGTTGTTTTTTATTGTTTTCCATTAAATAGGTATTATAAAATTTGTCAAAAAAATTTGTTATTTTTTTTAAATATAAAAAATATTCATCTAAAATAGATGAAATGAGGGCGGGAAGTAGAGGAGTGTAATGTGACACTTCCCAACCTTCAATGACGTTAGTAATGACAACATTACATATATGGTTGTAAATAAAAGTATTTTTGTAATGTAGAGGCGCCATCTACAATTTATAAAATTTCAAAATTATTTAACTTAAAACTAAAGGTACAATCACGCTTTAGTAACTGCTTTTGTATTTATTTTTATCTATTTAAAGACGAACCCAAGTACAGTATTCACTGTTGTATATACGAGTAGATAAAAAAAGTTAAGCTATAAGTAAAAAGTTAGAGAAACTGAAAAAACATGAGAATTTTACTAAATGATATTTAAGTACAATTTTTTCAATTTATTACAAAAACTAAAGAATTTATTATGAAATATGTCAATTTCGAGATGGTTACAAACTGAATTGAAGAATTTGCAACATCTATTCAAGGGAGAGTTTAGATAATACTTGGTGTTACTAAAATTAGTATAAAAAGTTTTAAAGGCTCTTATATTATAGGCTGGAACAATAAAATTAATGAGACTAGTAATCTCGTTGGAATCAATAAGATTATTTACAATTTTTTAAAGAAACTTAAAGTCTTCCAGGGAAATTAAATTTAAGTTTCGCCTGACTGATGCAATATTGTGTTCAGAAAACAATTTCTTGTTGCAGTAATATATGAATTTATTTTGAATATGATTAAGTCTATCAATATATACAAGATACTGGGCATTCCGTATTATCGATCCAAAACTTAAGACACTATTTAAATAACCCATAAATAAAATCAATTAGCATGAAGTTTTAAAATCATGACAAGTCCTGATAATAAAAACTAGCGCCATATTGGATTATTTTGAGATATAATAAATATGTTGGTCAAAAATAAGTTTTCTAGAGAAAGCAATGGAGTAGCATTTATTTAAGTTAAGGAAAAGGAAGTTTTGTTTGCAATAAGTGACAAGTCTGTTTAGATCACTTTATATCATTTCAAAATCTAGTACTTTGAAATGTGTAATATATTTTTAAATCATCTGCATAATTTTTATATTTACCGAACTTGAAGCATTTAGATATGTCATTGATATAGATATTAAATAATAAAGGCCCCAAGTGAGATCCCTGAGGTGTTCCTGAAGAAAAGTAACTAAAAGGTGATACATGTTTACCTATAACTACTGCCTGGGACTTATTAGTTATATAGGATTTCAACTATTGAAGTAGATTGCCGTGTAAACCGATTATCCAATAGAGTTGGATGATCAATCTTATCAAAGGCCTTGCTGAAGTCAGTATATATAGCATCTACTTGGAGACCTTCATTCTTGTCAACAATTTTTTCAAGAGGATATGATATGAAGTTATATTATTAATATTATAATTAGTTGTAATAGTATTATTATTGTTTGGGTTAGATTTGTTAAAAACAAAACTGAAGTACTTCGAAAAAGACTTAACTTAACAAACTGCCAAATAAGCTTTGGGTTTGAGGTTATTTGTGATTCAACGTGATTATTATAGTTTTTAACTTTGCTCTACCTCTTAAAAGTTTAAATGTTAAATAATACAAATGATTAGCACACTTTTCCATTTGACATGAAACTTTTTCTTCTCGTTAATGACTTAGGCTAAACCAATGAGGAAACTTGGACTTACATTTTGGGTATTTCGGAACGTGTGATAATATTTTCTAAATGACAATAAAACTTTTAGGAATTCACTATCCCAGTCAATATAGGATAAATCATCCCTAATTAAATAAAAATTTGCTTTATTATAATTAATTATGATATCTGAATTATTTTTTTGATTAAAAAAATTTCATGTCAAACTCCAATGTTGTATAATGATGATCTTCAGAAACAAGAGGGAATTCACACTTGAGATTTTTAATTAAAAAATTATTGTTTAAAATTAAGTCAAGTGTATTATTTGACATATTCGTAAAATTATTAAATTGAGGCAAACCACAACAGGAAATTGTATTAACAAACAGATTAGATTTTTCATCAGTAAAATGTAATACAATGGTTGTTCATGGAGTCTAATGTCCATTTTATATGGGGTAGGTTAAAATCACCGCATATTAAGAATATATTTTCTGGATTATCTTCAGTTTCAAACAAAATAAATTCAAAGCAATAGAGTTACCTGGAGGAATATAAACAAAACAAATATTAAGTTTAAAAGATTGAAACGTGACGGTTACACACAAATCTTCAGCATCACACATCCACTCATGCATTATACTGCAAACGTTGTTTTTAACTCCAATTAGGACCTCCCTCTTTATCGGTAGAACAGGAATTTTTCCGATCTCTTCTAAAAATTGTGAAAGAATCAGTCAATACTTCGGAAGAAGCATTCGTATTGTTTAGCCAAGTCTCTGTTACTGCATATAATGTCTTGGTCAAAATTTAATGAATTTTTAAAAATTTTAATAATAATCATCAGTATGTTTGATTTATATGAGAAATATTAACTAATATTAGTTAAATTTCATAGAGTGTAGCAACTCCATGTAAAGTTTTTCACAATTAATAGAATTCTTTTGCTTTGATTTACTTACATGTTTTCTGGTTAGTTTTTTGTTGTTTTAAGGTACATATAAAAAGAAACTATAGAAACCTAATGTTTTAAGAAAATCAGGATTTGTATTGATTCTATTGAGATATCGCTTTGACTAAAATTATTATATGCCGTTATTCACTAATCTTAATTATAAAATATGCGTAGGTTTAGATTGAGATTTAAAATTAACAGTGTTAAAGAATTGCATACCAAATGGGTGTTAGTTTTGTGGACTTTACATATATTTACTGTCAATGATTGAATTCACATTTGCATTTATTATGTAGAAGTCTTTAACATATTGCCCAAAAGTAAACTCTCAAGTGATTGCTAATAAACAATAATTCGTTAAAATTTGGATAATAAAGCTATGAAACTATAAACCTATAACTAATACCATTATCGCCGTATTATTAATTAACCTTCCGCTAGTCGCGTCAAAAAGCTTTCGGGATTGGTTGCGCATGTATCTGATAGATACATTAACATTTTTAGGGTTTGAAATAATACAAAAATTAGAAAACTGCTTTATTTTAACATTTTTGCTCTACAAAACAAAAAAGAATAGACATAATTATAAAATAATCAAATTATTCATAAATATTTACATTATTTGCCCGGGAACACAATCTTTACAAATACTTTTACAGTGATCAAGGCAACATTTTACACAGAAAAATTTTGTGAGGCGGGATTTTTTTGTTTGTGAATAGCACAGACTATATCTTTTTCTTTTGCTGGGTACATCCTCATTTTCGTGTAGCACAGGAGCAGGGATATTTTCTGGATCGGCATCCGGCAGAACTTCTACGTTTGTCACTTGTCGTCTTTGGATCTCAGGTTCGGTTAACTGCTTAGCCAGATCATGTAAAAAACTTTTTCTACTTTTCACTTTGTTTTGGTTTCCAGCAAAAGTATTTGTGAATTAATTCCAGCAGTGTCCATCATAGAAAAAAACACCACCATCGACCAGTGTTTTGTGTTCTGGGCAACGTTATAGCTTGCACACATTCTATCCACAGTGTCTACTCCACCTTTAGTTCCGTTATAAAATGTAATG